GAACATTTGATGTAGCTTTCCACAACCGTGTTCTGATCACTCCAGAAGCAACCATATAGACGATTTCTCAAGGTAAAGTTCAAATCCATTATATACATCAAATTTCGTGATCAGATTCTGAACAAAACTCTTGTGTTTATAAATGAAACCAGGGGATCAAGACACGCGAAGTCTGTATCTATGGGACCTGCAGTGGATCAATGGAAGGAAACTGAGATAGGCAAAGCTAAAAAGAAGTGTGTGTTCATAGTATACAATTTGTTTCCAAAGAAGCTAAGAGTCTAATGGGTGTATGATTATGCAGGTACGAGAAGCTAAGTGAGAAGATTATGTCATGGGAAGATTACAAGAGGAAAAAGGCAAAGAGAAAGCTTCATAGAACAGAGGTGACAATTCTTCCTTTTCCTCTTTCCTCGGTTCTAAAAAAACGATTATTGCATAACAGTAGAACCAATTGATGTGATGAATGTGCAGAGAGGTGTGGAGAGGACAAAGTTGAAGGCGTTGCAGAAGTTCAAGGACGAAAATGAACGCATCGAGATCATCGTTGCGAGTGCAAGAGCACATGCATATGAGAGTCGAGTGAAAGAAGAGTTGAAGGTTAAGGAGAAAGCAAACCTCATGAGAACAACTGGAAGGAGTCCCTCTACATGCCTCTAAAATCCTGCAAGCTGCAGGATATGTAAAGCCAAACATTCTTTAATGCTTAATTACTGTCAAACATGTAAAATGCAGTTACAATTAAAGTGTTTACACACATGATCCATTATGTCACAAATCTGCAAACCAAAACTTCAGAAAGTTCCACAAAAGTACTAGAACCAAGTGTTCGAAATCACAAATACAATGCCCAATCTTGCAATAAATCATAAAAAAAGAGGTGCAAAACTACCACCACAAATCATGAAAGCTTCAAAGACTCCAAGAGCTAAAAAGAGTCACACATAGAGACTGCGCCGAGCAACTGAAGAATATGAGTTATGAGCTCAGTATCATTCTCATGAAGTTATTTCATTTACCAACCTCTCCAGAATAGGGTACGCAAAATATAGCACCACACCAGATGGGATTGCTAAAAGGATTGTGAGGAGGAAGTAAAGGGTAAGAATGATGAGGCTACCGGGTATAGCAAAAAACACGATCAGAAGGAAAACTATCACAAACGGAAACTTGGAGGTGAAAGAGATGAAGAAATCAAGAGACTTGTGAAAAGAGAAGTGCTGTCTGCTTGGTTGGCTACTATGGTCATCATGATGTGGCAAAATTTCTGGAGACTGGTTACGCACAACGGGCCTTACAATCAAATTGCTGTTGCTGCAGTGGTTTCCCAGAGGCATGCTACACCTAGGAGAAAAAACCGATTGCTGATTATCGCTGACCAAAGAACCATGGCTTCTCCTGTCACCATTCAGACTCTCAACCATCCAGAGAAGGAAGAAATTTTTCCGAGGGAACTTTAGATTGCCCTTATATACAATCCTGAATGAAAGCAACTGACACCACGGACACGAAACGAAGAACGGAATCTTGATATCTTGGCTTGAGAGTTTCAAGACAGCACATTGGAGGCCAAATACACAATTCTGGCAAAGAGTATGACCACACCATAACACATAAGGAACATTCTCAACAATGTTGAAAGATTCCCAACAAATAGGACATTCTAAACCTTCTTCATCTCTGCTAACATTTGAAACCTCGTCGTCTGAACATTGGGAAGAGGCTTGAGAGGACTTCTTTAGCCCCATACCCCCGATGACATTCGACGCAAAGCTCCACATTTGATCAAACTGAGAATGATCACCAAAAACTTATAATCCCTGAGTCACTGTGCCAACATTACCCAGTAACCTTCCCAGATAGAAAAGAGCTTCTTACACCACCAATCATCATTTTTACGAAGCTGGCGAAAAGCAAAGAGAATTCATAGGTGTGTTAGCAATCGGTATACATGAAAAAAATCATTAAAAGACCATCTTTTTTTTCAGAAACATCATTGAATAAGAGAATTAATGGAGCTACCCTAAATTATCAAAGCTGTTTTGGAATTAAAGGGACCCCATTTATATAAATTACAAACAACAATTCATATATAAATCTAAGTTATTATTGGGGACATGAACATGATACAGATCAGAAGAATGGCGGAACAAAAACAAAAAACTTTTGTTCTCGAAAGCTCAATGTACGATAAAGGG